GCGCTCTGCACAGCTCCATAGGGCGCTCTGCACAGCTCCATAGGGCGCTCTGCTCCATCCCCACACAGCGCTGCCCCATCCGGATGCACCCCACGCCTGTGCTCACCCAGCAGCCCCCCGAAGGTGATGGCCGGGGACAGCGCGGCGAAGTAGATGAAGATGACGGCGGCGATGCACTGCGGGTTCAGGGCGTCCCTGAAGTCGCTCAGGTAATGGGGGTATCGGCGCCGCACGTCCCGGATCAGCCCCCCCGAAGGGCCGCCCCGTGCGCCGCAGGGGATCGTCCTCATCCTCATCCTCAGCCACCTTCAGCTTCAGCAGCGCTGCACCCAGATGGACGGACAGATGGACGGTCGGCCCCGGCCACCCCACGCCCGCCCCGCCGTGCCCCAGCCCACCTTTCTCCTCGGGGGATTTGGGCTCCAGCAGCAGCCTCCTCTCCTGCTCCTCGCGTTTCTTCAGCATCTCACGCTGGAAATGTGCGACGCTGCGCAGCAGCTCCTCGCCCTGCACCTCGGAGGGCGGCAGCACCACGCTGCAGTCCAGGAACTCGTTGATGGCCGTCAGCAGGTCGTGCCGCTCGTCCGCCAGGTAGGCAGCCTCGTGGAATTGCTGCGGGCAGAGGGGTCAGGGCGGGCTGCTGGGCACCGGCGGCCAGGGGGGACAGGAGTGGGAACAGGGCACAGTGATGGGAATGGAAACGGGGCACGGGGATGGCGCTGCGGGCGGGCGGTGGCACCCACCTTGTCGGACATGAGGGTGGAGATGGAGCGCCCGATCTCATGGTAGTCCATGTGGGTGCTGCTAGGGCCCAGCAGCACGAAGAGGAAGCGCACGGGGACGGGGACCTCCAGCACCGAGTCCAGCTCCACCGCCTCCTGCAGCCGCACGAAGGCCATGGTGGGCTGGTCCAGGAACTCCACGCAGCCTGCGGGGCGCAGCGCTCAGCACGGGGCGCCATGGGGTGCACAGCACACAACCCCCCCCCCCCAGCCACCCCTCCGTACCCACGAGCACCACGGTGGCCTCGGCGTCGTCGGGGATCTTCTCCAGCAGCTTCAGCTCGTGCTTGGACTTGGAGCGGGTGATGCCGGCAGGGGGCGCGGGGGGCGGGACCTCACGCTGCGGGCACGGGGTCAGCGGTGCCCGAGGATGAGGAGCGGCGGCGGAGGGGGGGGGGGAAGGGGGAGGAAGGGCTGCTCACCTCCCGCTCCACGTCCACGCGCGTGTCGTGCTCAGCACCGTGCCCGGCGATGAGGGGCTCGGTGACGGCCGGCTCTCCGCCCTCAGCCACGTGGTTGGTGCTGTGGTGGTGCACCAGCAGCGAGCCCAGGCTGCCGGCTGAGATGTTCCGGGGGAACGAGAACTCCTTCTCGTCGCTCGGGTGGCTGCAGACGGGCACAGAGCTGCGTGCGGAAGCCAAGCGCCCGGGCCGGAGCTTCCCAGCGCCGCGCGGCCCCGGCCCCGCACCCACCTGTGCTTCAGCAGCAGCGCACGCAGCACGTTGGCGCGGTCCTCAGCCCGGATCTGGTCGGTGATGACCATCTGCTCCACCACCTGGTGGGCCACGCCCGGCAGCGTCTTCTGGTCCAGATCCAGCAGCACGGCGCCTGGGGGGCAGCGGGCTGAGCGGGGACCCCCCTGCGCGCACCCCCGAGGGTCGGCCCCGCGCCGTACCGTGGGACAGCGTCTTGCGCAGCTCCAGCAGGCTGCGGAAGGACAGCGAGGCCACGTGAGGTTTCCCCCAGCGGTCCGTCTCCTCCTCCACGTCCTCCTCAAACTTGATCCAGCGCGCCGTCTCCTTCCACTGCAGCTCCTGGTTCTTGTCCAGCACCAGCTCGTTCAGCTCCACGAACACCTGCGGCGGCGCGGTTCGGTGGGTGCCCCGCAGCACGACGCGGGGCGGACCCCCCTTTCTCCCCCGGGACCCCCGTCCCGGTACAACCCACCTCGTGGGGCTGCCGGTCCGACCTGCGCGGCCGCGCGCTCTGCTCGCGGTGCTCCTTACCGACGTGCACCACCTGCGCCTTGGCGCTCTTCCGCACCAGGTGCCGCCGCACGCCGGGCACGTCCTCGAAGCGGTGACCTGCGGCAAGGGGAAGCGGCGGGCGGGTGGGCGAGGGTGGCGGGCGCAGCACCGTGGGACGGGGCGGGCAGCGGGGAGGAGAACCCGGGCACCGCCGGCGCGAGGGCGGCCACCCCGGCAAGCGCCGTCGCGGCTCACGCGCTGCCGGAGGGCTCCGAGCTGCGGCTACGGGGCGCTCTGGGGAGGCGCCGCCTCCGCTTCCCGCTCCACGCGCCCGGCCCCGCGTCCCCGCACGAGGCCTCGCTCGCCCCGCGCACCGCTCCGGGCCCCCCGGACCCCACCACCCCCGGGGCGCGGGCGCCGCACGCACTCTTCATGTAGTCGAGGTCGGCCGATGCCAACGTCTGCGCCTCCGATTCATCCGTGGGCACCTTCTGGTACTGCGCCTGCTCCGCGCCCGTCATGCTGCCGATGCGGCGCCGCTCGTGCAGGTTGTAGCTGCGGTGCCCGGGCTGCGCCCTGCCCGCGGGGCGCCCGGGGGAGCCGCCATCCTCGGGGACGGCGCTGCCCTCGGCTGCACGGCCCTCCTCGGCGCCGGGGCTGCAACACACAACACAGCCATCCCGCACAGCCCGTGGCGCAGGACCCGGCGCTGCGCACAGCCGCGGGGCGCGGCACAGCCTCCGCTCACCTGGCTGCCGGGGGGGCCGGGGCTCCGTGGGGCTCCGCCGTGGGGCCGGGTGGCGCCGGGGGGGCCGGAGGCTCCTCCACACGGCGCTCGGTCACCTCGTCCTCCTGCAGGAAGAACTGCACCGAGAGGCGTGGCACGGCCAGGAGCGGCCCCGCGCCCCGCGGCCCCGCGCCGCCCCTACCTGCACCCCCTCGGCGGGGCCGCCCCGCAGCTCCTCGGCCGAGCGCTCCGTCTCGGTGTCGCACGCTTCCTCCTCATCCTCCTCCCCCTCCTCGATGGGAGGATTCTCCCCGGGGGCGGCCGCTCGCCCGCGCTTCTTCCTGCCCTTTTTGGGGGCCCCTTTCTTGCGGCGCGCGTCAGGCGGCAGATGCGCGGACAGGGGGTGGTGGATGTGCAGCGAGGACTGCCGGTGGTCTGCGGGGTGGCGCGGGTGTTGGTGCGGCTGTCCCCGCCCCGCGCCCTCCCCCCGCGCCCCGTACCCCACTCACACTCGAAGTCCTCCTCCCCGTAGATGCGCCCCGGCTCCTCCACGCTGCGCGGGTGCGCGTCGCTGAGGATCTCCTCGAAGCGCTCCACGCCCAGCGCCTTGTTCAGGTCCTTCTCCTCTTCCTCAGCCAGCGGTGGCGAAGCGGGGCCCGGCGCGGGCGGCTCGGGCTGCGGACGGGACGGGGCGGGGCTGGGCCGGGCCGGGTGCGTGCCACGGCTCCGTACGGTGCGGACGCCGCCACGGCCCTGCGGCACCGCGGGGAACGGACATCCCGCACGCCCCCGCGGCAAAGACACCCCCGTGGCACCCCCGGGTCCGCCACCCTCACCACACTCCTGGACGCAGCCCTCCCCCGTGCCACCCCGGACACGGACGCCCCGCACGCCCCCGCGGCACCGCACGGCGCGCGCATCCCGCGTACCACCGCGGCAGCCCCGGGCGCAGCCGCCCCGCGCAGCCCCAGGACCCCGCACCCGAAGGACGCGGCCCCGCGCCCCGCGTCCCCCCGGCTCCGCGCCCCACACCCCCGTGTCACCTCCCTGCGCCCGCACCGCCCCGGGACGGCTGCCAGCTGCAGGGTGCGGGTGTGGGCGCGGACGCGGGATATGGGGGCGGGGTGCGGGATGGGATTTGATTGCGGATGCGGGGTGCGGGCCGTACCTGAGTCATGGCGGAGCCCTCTCCCTCCGCAGCGCTCGCGGCGCTTTATCGGAAGGTCACGGCGGTGGGGGGGGGGGGGCGCGGGGGGCGGCGGCTCCGTCCCCCCCCTCGGCAAACACCCGCGGTGCCGCCCCGCTCTGCCTCAAGGTGACAGCGCAGAGGGCAGCGCAGCGCAGCAGCATCCCGGCCCCCCCCCCTCCCTCCCCTCCCCGGGCTGTGCTATGCGCGGCGCCGCCGGAATGCGCCCCCCCGGGCGGTGCGCGGCCCTCCGGAACGCGGCTCTGCCCCCGGCCGTGCCCGGATCCCGCTCGGGGTTTGCGCTGTCGAACCCCTCGTCACCGCCCGTTCCCTTCCCCCCAAGGTCTCCCCCGGGACGACCCCGCGGAGGAGGTGGCACGGCTGTAGGGCCGGCCCCCGCAGCCGGGGTGTGCGGGGGTGCCGCTGGCGCCCCGCCCCACATCTCGGGACCCCCCCACGACGGCAGCCCCCACCTCCAGCAGTGCCCTCTCTGCCACACGGTCACCCCCCAGACCACCACTGAGGACCGGGGTGGCCCCAAAGAGGTCCCAGGAGCCGACCCCCCCTCCAGCCCAGAG